GGACCGCTCACTGAAGCACCCGTGATTCACGCCTTTCGTGGCATTAGTGACCAAGGGAGGAACATTAAAATGGGGATTACAGTGAAAAGGTTTGGGGCCAAACATTCAAATCCCTGTCTCTAATGAGAGCATCCCAGGTAGTCCACGCACGACTAGCACTGTGAAGGGAAACAGGGAGGTGCAATTGCCCCATTTTTTGGGGGGAGAGGGGTTAATTTTTGAGACAGAATTGTGCCCTATAACTCAGACTGGTCTAGAGGATTCTCTGTGTAACCCAGGCTGGCTGCCTGTGGACTCAAGACACTCCCCCGTTGGACCCCTGAGAGCTAGGATTATAGGTATGTGACACCATGTCTAGTCAGCACAGTTGTTCTTTTATGGGAAATTTAAACATAATTAATAAGCACATAGTCTTTTAATTCACATGTACAATTTCCTCCTTCCTGCCAGGCAGCACAAGTTGCAAACACACACACACACACCACACACCATACACACACACACACACACACCACACACACATACCACACACACACCATATACATACACACCACATACACGCACACACACATACACACACACATACCATACACACACACCATACACATATACCACACACACCACACACACCACACACACCACACACACACACCATACACATACACACACACACACATACACACACACACACACACACACACACACGGCCTTCTCCGGTTCACTCAAAGGTTCTCACTTGGCACTTATTGACAAGAACGTTATTTTCTCTACAGGGGTTGGATGTAATATTATTATTGTGTTCTTCCCGCTCCTTTCCATACTTGGATACACAATATGACAAGAATTTCAATTAGAAACGAGGTCAGAGAAGGAATAAAGGCAAACCAAAAATAAAAGAACAGTCGACATCTAGAAAGTCCAAGAAGAAAAGCTTCCTAGTTCACTATCTGCTCCTAACAGTCACTGATCTGCTGTTAACCGCCCCCCCCCCAGTTATGCACCTGTCGACTACACTAGCTTCATCTACAAGGGTGTCCGCACTTCTGTATTGCACTTGGATTACTCGAAAAACCTGCAGAGCTAGAATCAGAGTCATCTACAGACCTCCAAAACTAGTGAGCCCCTGAAGTCTGTCGGGTTATAAATTCCTGCTGATCTTTCAGGATGGAAATTCAGGGTAGCATAGTTTGGCATCACAGCCACCGAGAAACCTGTCCCAGGAGGTGACCAAGGGAAGCACGTGAATACACTGCATGCTCACCTCATGCAGAGACAATGGGATCTGCGCATGCTCACTCTGACCCTCAGGTTACATTTCCAGACAGCCCTGTGCTTTGTTGAGACCGGGAGAAAGTGAACCGTAACAATTGTCCCCGGGACAGTGGTTTTTGTTAGTTTGGTCTGAGCTAGGACAGGGACTGAGAAGGACCTAGCTGTCTTTCTATCAAACAGAAAATGCAGCTCTTGGTAAATAGGTCAGGTGAGCAGCCTGCAGAGCCCCGCCAGCGTGGAGGATTAGCCGAGAACTCTCAGGAGGCTTTGGAGGGATGTGATCCAGTTTAATCTCATCTTCAAAGGGAATCCTTCCTCCAGCCCTGCGAGTTGTGGAGGGAAGAGGCAGAGGAGCGGTGGGATGCGGCTTCTCAGCATCACACAATTGCTCCTTGGGAGGACCAAAGGCTGGTTTTAAGGATCCTGATCACCCTAAGTTCTCAATGTTTCCTTGGCTTTGGATTTAACACGTACCAAGTTCTACATAGCGGCGTGCATGGTCCTTGGTGTTTCTGGGGGAGGGACAATTTGGAATTCTAGACAAACTATGGTTTGCAGAATGCTTAAAGTTCCTGCTCTCAGACCTGAGTATAAAGTGGCATAAGAGATGCCGTTAAACACGGAAGCCCTATACATGTGTTCATAAACACTTCAAACACCATGCTTCCAAGATGAGAATGCAAACAGGCGGGCCATTGTTGTGAAGGTGCGTACAGCCAGCCATCTGGAGGTCTGGGACCTGAGGGTACCGGAAGTCTTGAGATTACCGCAACGATGACGTTACGTTACTACAGTATTCTGTAATCTGCAATCGGCAAAATTCTTTGTGTTCCTCACAGAAGATTTTGCCTGAGTCCGAATCTTCCAGGAGTTTCTAAAGATCGGAAAGTGGTGCATTTGCGCCCTCTGCTGTAGACTGCCGAGGTTGCCACAATCGGCACAGGAAAAAAAAAAAAAAAAAGCAAAGCAAGCTGTGTAAAGTAAGTAGGTCAAATGCTTAAGGAGGATAATAAAATACATTAATAGTAAAGCATTCTCAAATGCGACATGTGTTGTATTTTGTATATGTTTATGATAAATTGTCTACCTTAAGAATCTGGAAGGCAGCTAAAACTCAGGGCATCACATAGATGGGTATCTCCAGTTCTGGGTAAGGGGATATGAGTCAGCCCACAGCACAATCCCGAAAGAATTCCCGTGTTGTTTATTTACTTGTTTATGTATTTTGCAGTGATGAAGAATGAGCACTGCTGGCTTGAATGCCACATTGTTAACGTCAAAGATTGGCTGAGGTTATTATTTTAATGAGAAATAAACGTTTCAGAAATAAAGCACTCGGAGCAATACAGCGATTCCCTATGTGTCATTTGCCATCTAGTGTTCATTTTTGGAACTTCAAAAAGCTAATTAGAATTGCTTTTTTTTCCCCCCCAGAGAATTGACCCAACATTTCTACAAGAAGTTTCCAAAGTGTACCACCATAAAACTGTTGGTTGTGGAGGTGGGAAGGGTGGGTGTGTACGTAATCCCGGCTACTTCTAAGAATTCAAGTTTCTTTCTGAGAAACAAAACGCTTCTGTGTCCTGGCTACCTGGGAAACTGGTAGAACCTCTTCAGTAGCAAGAGTCCAAAGGTGATTATTCTAACCTGCAGCAGAGCTCTCCACAGAAGCGCATAGCTCACCTGGGTTACCTGTGCAAGGGAAAGTCGGCAGACTGAATAGCATCTTTGTTTCTATGGAGATTACCACTTCCCTTAGGATTAACGCTCCTGTAGTTGTTTACTGAGATTGGTCTTGCTCTGGTAGCCTAGGCTGGGATTACAAGCGTGCACCACCACCACCCCTGGTATTTTATGAGTGCTAGACACACTGACTATCCAGTGTTCTGCATAATGTGCTCAGTAAACGAAACCCTTTACCGTTTGTGGCAAGGTCTCTCTTTGAAGCCCAAGCTAAACTAGAATACTCTAGCCTAGAACACAAGCCCAGATTGGCCTTGAGCACAGGAACCTCTTGTTTCAATAAAAATCACTACTGACATTTATTACCAAAGAAGACACTTTGAGGGCTATTTCAAAGGCCTCTGGCCACCCTTCCTTCCACATCCACCATCTGCAATGAAACCACAGCCAAGATGCAGACTGTCATTCAGAAAACCCCTCACAGGGATCATCTGCTCAATGGTGAACCCACAGACACTGTAGAGAACGTGAAGACAAAGGCTGACAGGCTCCTGAGATACGCTGTCATTTGTCTGACTAAAGCATCCACGAAGGGGTCCACTCTCCATCTTGTGTTGAAACTTCATGGTGGTCCTGAGGAGAGGGAGAAGAATACGCCAACACCCAAGGAGAGCCGGCACTAAGAGAAGGTTCCGAACCTTCACGGAGAGTGCCCTTCCAATGAGTGTGGCGCTGGAGTTTTCACGGCCAGCCACTTTCAGGCATCACTGTACCCAACACACTGAGTTATTGCTTCAGCAAACCAGAGGACAAGTGAGTGTATGAGAGAGACGGGGACCGGGAAGATCTGAAAGGACACGAGAAGTGTGTACATTTCTGTTCCTCCTGAACAGACTGATGTGTGTGACTGAATGCTCAGACCCAACTCAAGATGAGGGCCATCACTCTCAAGAAGCAGTTTCTTCCATTTTGTGGGTAGTGTGAGCTGAAGCCTTCCTATGTTGCCCCTATTGGTCCAGAACTTGAGATGCCCCTGTCTGGATGTTCCGAGTGCTCGGATCACACCCAAGTATGTTACTCCTTACCCAGGGCTGGCAATAAACACTTTGTGACTTAAGTTGCGCATAGAATAAAAAGATACAGACAGCTAGCCACAGGGGGGAAATACCAAGTGTTTACCTACATTGGAAAACTATATGCAAAAAGGTGAAAACACATAACCAATCATGCATGCATACATACATACATACATACATATCTTTCAAATCTTTGTAACTCAACTCAAAACTCTTAAAAGGTGCCGAGTCTATACACTGAGGATTCATCATTAATTATACTCTTTAAGTTAAATGTTATTCACGGGCTGGCTGCTTATCTAGCAAGCATGATGTCCTGGGTTCTATCCCCAGCAAGGCATGAACGGGCTGCGATGGTGCACTGCCATCTTCCTGCATCTCAGAGCTTATGTCGGGGCCATAAAGATGGCTCCACTTCACCTTGGCTTAAGGTCAGAGTCCAAAACTATCCACACTCTTCCAAGGTGAAGTCTTAAGACCTAAAGGTCTAAGGCAGGGTCACTGTAGGATGTTTGGTCTTAGGTATGGATGTCTTATCTAAATAACAAGAGGCTTGGTCTAAGGTGTGGTTACCAAATGTTTGGGGAATTAAGGAAGGAGATCTGTGTCTTGCTTGAATCTTGATAAAGGAGTCTTTTTGCTGTTTTCCCCTTTTTTTGGTTGGGGTGTTTAAAATGTTGAAGAATAAACTTGGTGTGTTCAGTATTCACTGGACTGCCCTCCTGACTGTATTCTGTGTCTCTATCTTTTCCTTAGAACCTTTACCTGCCATTTCTCAATCCACACTCCCCCTCTGAGGTATGAACCGGGCAGGTCAGCTAGATCTGACCTAAGCACCACAAAGACGAGATACACTACGAACTTAAAGTGTGTAAGGACCAACAGGGGTTCAAGTTCATCCTCAGATACATAGCAATCCTGAGGCCAGCCTGGGATATATAAATAAATAAAATGTTATTCATAATAGTCTTAATTAAATAAATTTAATTGTAAAAACAACCTTATAATAGAATTTACATGTTATGTGTTTTAAATCATGTAGTTAACAGCAGAAGTACATTAATTACAGTGCCCAAATCAGAATATCATAGAGATTTAATATATTAAACCACCCAACAATAAAATCTTATCTGCCTTGAAGCTTACAAGAACACTCCATTTTATCAAATGCAAGGTTCAAACATACCAAGAACAAAATATATATTCAAGGACCAAGGCTAGACAATAAATTAATCTTTTCAAAACAAATAGGAACCATTAATTTTTCTCCTTGAGTTTGAGAGGCCCAAGATCCTTATAGAATGTATAGACAGCAGTGATGAAATTAAGCAAGGAGTTTGGAAAGAAATCAAAAAGGTGCCCCATTAATACACGTGCCACAATACATCTATCGGCACAGTCAAAACCAGTTTAAGTAAGGAACGTGAGTAAGACACTTAGTAAAACGTTACACTGTAACTAACTATACCAGACACACGGGGACTTTAGACAGAGCCTACAACACACAGTACTAAGCAAGCTGCAGAAATGCCCACAATAAGCTATCCTCTCCGGCAGGATGGTCCTACGAAACGGCATGGCGATATGAAACATAAACAGGACAGTGAGGCATCCTTTACTTCCAAACGGGAAGCAAAGACACAGAATGGCCACCCCATTTATGTACCCAGGGACTGCAGCTTCCGGGACTCACCTACTGCTCTTCAGGTTCAGTAAAACTAAAAGACTCTCTGCCGGGAGAGAACCTGCCTTGTCACAGTCTCACAAACTTAAGGATGGCTTTTGGAACAAAGAGAAAAGAAAACTTTCTAATGGAGAGTCCTGCATATAAATAGCACACTGAAATTTAAGGGGGTCAGGTGGCTAGCTCATTAATTATACTTCCTGTATGTTTTCCACGAGATACTCTTACATGCAAATTTTCTTTCAACAATCACATACTCCATCTAGTTTTGCAGAAGTCATCTTTAAAACAAACAAACAAAATAAGTTCCCATTTTCAAATCAGGACCTCAAAGACAAACTGAGATTGGTGACATCATACATGGCAAACATCCCGGGGTCAGAAAACGTGATGGAGCGGATACTGTCCTGTGCCAACTAACTTTCGTCGTCTCTTTGTAAAGGTATTATCTCAATTTCCTTGGCTATCCTTTCGGCTAATGCTTTGTTATTTGCAGCAATTATTCTCCGGGACATCAAATCAAATGGTCCGCCTGAAATCAAATTAAACATGGAGAAGTTATACATACAGTACACAACAAGAGAAAAACCAAGGACACAGCGACACCTTGTGGCTAATTATGCTGATATTTTAACTGCTCAGTTTTCTTTAAAAAATAAAACAAAACACCCAGTGATGGCGCTCCAGCCTCGAGAAGATGTGAGTTTCTAGGCATCTTTTCTCAGTAAGTACAGATAGGAGGGATTTCAAGTCGAAATGCCATCCTCTCTCTCTGCTTCTCGTGGGCGCTCTTACACTCCCTTCCCCGTGCGAGTGTCCGCGGATGCGGGCTCTCAATCCAACGCGCTTTCTTATAGCTTTCTTCCTACTTCCAGCTTCACCTTGCTGCGTCTCCTTGGTTACCGCTGCACTCCTGGGACTCGGGCTTATTTGCTGTGGAACATTCCTCTATGCTGCGTGGGCATATGTCACAAGCTGACTGGCTAAAAGCCTAACAGAATGATGGGATGAGGAAGGGCGGAGTCAGAGGCGTCGCCGGGAGATGCAGAAGGGGGAGGAGACGAATGTGCCATGTTAATAAAGGCACCGCCCGGTGGCAGAGCATAAATACTGGGTATGGGTTAACTTAAAATGGAAGAGACAGTCAGCGTTAAACCTGAGCTATTGGCCGGGCATTTATAATTAATGCAAGCCTTTGCGCGATTATTCGACAGCAGCTGCAGGACAGGGAAACGATTCCACCTTCTGCTCAGAGATAACAGGTACCTGACCTAGGCCCACCGCCCGCTCTCGCCACAGAGGAGGGCAGGCACTCGGACCATGACTTCACCTGTCACATCCATCAGCACGCCCCCTGCTTCGGTGACAATGATGCCAGCTCCCGCCATGTCCCAGCAGTGAATCCCCATCTCATAATACGCATCCGCTCCTCCAGTTGCCACAAGGCACATATTGACAGCAGCTGTTCCGACACTCCGGATTCTAACATGAAAATAAGATGGGTAGAAAAAGGAAAGGGGGGAAAAAAAAAAACCCTCTCAAAAAAGGAATTCCTCTTTGAGGTGACTTTCACTGCCAGCTGAGACTGCTGACCTCAACCTAGAGAATAATGTGGACAGAAAATGTTCTCTATAAACTTAACGTATATAAAATTTAGAGATCAGGGCTGGGGGAACGGCTCAGGGGTTAGCGGCTCTTGCAAGGACCCGAGTCCAGCTCCCAGCATTCACATGCAGGCTCACATCCACCCGGAACTCCAGCTCCAGAGGGATCTGATGCCCTCTTCTGGTTTCTGCAGTCACACACATTTGTGGTGCATACGCGCAAGCAAGCAAACATTCATACACGTAAGCGAGAGCAAATCTCTTAACACATCCAACCTCCATGTACTACGTAAATCACCAATTTATCATACGGTAAGTAGCCATTTAATGCGGCGAACACGATAACAAAGACTTTAAGGGAAAACAAAACAAAACAAAACGCACCAGGGAGTCACATGACAGCACACTCACCCGAGAGGCCGACAGATGTCGAGTTCCAGGCCAGCCCGGAGTACACGGTATCACTTTGTCTCAGAAGCCGAAAGCAGAGTACCATGGAAGAGCAGCGACATGCGTGCTCATTCCTGTGCCTCTCCCCCCCCCGCCCGCCCCACGCACTACGATGTCAGCACTGCGTGAACGGCCTCCAGGTCGTGGGAAACACCCGGCTACTGCTCACCGCCAACTGCAAAAGCCCCCAGCTTGTGCTTGACTCCACAAGGGCACACAGCTGCCTGCGCTTTGCGTGAACATTCTTTGGTCTTTGCTTTTTAAAAACGTTACTGTTTTCTACAATTAATAGGAGCTTTAAAACGCTCAGCAATGTCAAGCTTAAAACAAAATGAAAGACTAAGAAACTACTACAAAGGAAATGGATGAGCAGTGAGAATCAAACCCTGTATCAGCACTCGGGAGGCCAAGGCAGGAGGTTCTGGAATTCAGGAAAAACCATGCACAGGTGCTAAAACTGGTGGCCGCAAAGTGAAACCCTCTAAAAACAGAGAGGCCGCCGAGATGGCTTAGCAAGTCAATTTAACCGTCTAGCGCTCCCAGTGGAGGGAAACTGAGTCCTGGAAGCTGCCGAGGGGTCTTCATGCTGGGACTGATTCACAGGCAGGGACACGGATAGGAATGACGAGAGTTACCCAAGGAGACCTAAGCCACTGAGTGGAGGCTACCTCAGTCTTTCCCCGTCTAAGCCCCCACGCCCGTCTCTCGGTCCCCTCTCCCCGTCAAGACTCGCTCTCCTTGGGGCCATCCTCACGGCGCTCTATCTCTCCTGCCTCCTCGGTATCTGCTCGGCTTGCTCCTGCTCCCCAGCCCTGGCCTTCCCTCTGTCCTGGCCTCCTCCAGAAGCCCTTGGCTCTTTTCTCTCTCAAATCTACAGTTAAACACTAACCACACAACGGAGCAGTCTTGCTGGCAGTTTCTTTACTGCACCGCAATACTAACTTGTTTTGTTCACTTATATATCCTATCATTATTAAAACACTATGAAGTTGGAGAGCAGTGTTATCATGAGTGTAAAACATATAACGAACCCTAGCTAGCACTCAAGAGGCTGAGGCAGGAGGATTACAAATTCCAGACCAGCCTGTGTTACACAGTGACATCCTATCTCAAACACGAAACAAAGAAAAAAAAAAAGTGTATGTGTGTGTGTATACACACACATATACACACATATACTCACACACACATATAACATTAGAAAGATTTAACATAAAAGAAATCTGCTAAAAATGTAAGCATCTATAAATACAAAAATTTTAAAACGAAGCAAAGAATTAATGAAATAAACACAGTAACTACAAATAATACAGACAGCAATCACAGCACAATACTCAATGAAGGAATAGCATTATCGATACATTAATAGTTTTGTCTATAAAAAACATTTACATATTGACTTACAAACTGAAACTCCCTTTTGTTTTATACAAGAGACACACTTAAAGCGGACAGACAAAAATCGAACACAAGGCTCGGCACTGTGGCACACACCTCTAAGGCCAGCATCGAGGTCTGCCTGAGGTACACGCAAAACCATGTTGTAGAAATCAAAAACAAAACGAACAAAATTCATCCAAAGCCATGAGGAAGACATCCAAAGTCAACCCTAGGTCAACTCTAAGCTGCACACAAGCACAGTGGATGGTTTGGCGAGAATAGAGGACTTACCCATGGATAGGGATGGAGCAAAGCTTTTCCATGTTGGAGAGGACGATGCGTAAAGTTTCCGGCTTCCGGGATGAGCCCAACTCAGTCACCAAGAGGGATTTGGAGATGTCTGGAAGGGAAAATTATTTCAAGTAAACCACTAGATGCCAATAACCTAAACTCTAGGACAAACCTTATGTAATTCAGAATAAAATGGACGTTTAAACCCTTTTTCCTAGTTTCATCAAACTTTTTCCCAGGCTTCAAATGTTAAAATAAAATACTTAAAAATTAGGTATGTTGCTTGCCGCAACCCTGTACTTAAAAAATAAGTCATCTGCAGATGACCCAAATAAGAAGGAGCTAAAGGACCCCCCAGACTGACAGCTGGGAATCCAGCATTGAACCGACTCACACCCCTGAACATGGGTCTCAGCTAGAAGGCCTGGGCAGTCTAAGGGACCTCTGACAGTGGAACCAGGATGTATCTCTGGTGCATGAAAGGACTTTGGGAGCACATTCCCCGTGGAGGGATACTCCCTTAACCTAGAGGCAGGAGGGAGGGCCTAGTACCTACTCCAAATGACTTGACAGATTTTGATAATCCCTCCTGGAAGGCATCACCCTCCCTGTTGAGTGGGGGGGGGATGGGAAGGGAGGGAGGGGGAACTGGATTTGATATGCAAAATAAAAAATTATATATATATGGAAAAAAATAAGTCATCTAAAAACAACAACAACAAAAGGAAATAAATTAAAAATACGCCCTCAACCTAAGTATTTAAGAGAAAAGTTATGGTTGGGCATAGTGCTGCACACATTTATCCTAAGCACTCAGGAGACAGAGGCAGGCGGATCTCTCAGTTCAAGGCCAAGCTGACTTCCAGTCAGTTCCAGGCAAGAGCTAGTGAGACCTTGATTCCAAACCAAACCAAACCAAGAAGGGAAACAGAGAGAGAGAGCGAGGGAGGGAGGGAGGAGAAGGAGGGAGGGGGAGGGAAGGAGGAGGGAGGGGGAGGGAGGGGTGTCCACAATCACGCCGCTGTTGACATGCCCTTGCCCTGTGACATCTGCTTTTCCTGCCCCAACTGTCTCACTACATGCTGAGGTCAGGAGGGAAAAGGAAGATCAAAGCCGTCTTGGGTCAGCTAACCCGCGTAAGCCCAGAGGCTGACACACACCATGCAAACGCACGCACCCTTCGCGGAGGGCACACCTACCTTCCTGTTGTGAGACCTGAAGCCTCTGGCCGTTACAAAAGGCTCCTTTTCCTTTCCTGCCAGTGTACATCTTGTCCTCCACACAGCTATACACAACTCCAAACTCCATCTGCACAGGGAAGCAAGGCTCTCTTAGGAAACCTGAGCACTTTCCAGCTAGTGGGCATCGTTTTCTGGATAAAGCAACAAGAGAGTCTAGTGTGGGTACTAATAAAAAACGTACTCAAACAGCTGTACTGCGGGGAGGGGCAGCTGCTCAAGCGAGGCCCAAACACAGCGGTCACCAGGCCTCCTACCACTCAGTCTAGAGGGGGAGGACACACTGTCCCTCTCCCTAGCCTTGAGGAGGCAGCCTTTCTAGTCTCTGTAATGAACACCGTCCTCCTGCATCCTCTGACAAGCTCCATCCACGCATGCTCCTCCTTCCCTACCTTCTCTCTAAGCCTCTCCCCGCCCCCGCCTTGCTGCTCACGTGAGCTCTTGCCCCTCCACCTTCGTGCCGAGCTATCAGGAGGGTGCTGGGAGGTCAGGCCTTTAAGAGGCAACTGCCTTCTTCCTCTGCAGCAGCACAAGCAAGGGCTCAGCCTGGGGAGACGCCAACCTTACACCCCACCCTCCCCCGGGCGTGCGCTTTCCCGGTCTCCGGGACCCTGGGACCCTGTTAAAGCGGGCCCTGCACATCTGCACTTCCTGCTCTCCAGCCAGCCTACTGTAACTGTAGTCAGTCTTTGCTGACCCCAAAGGCTTGCCTAAAGCTCTGCAATGCTTCACTCAACAGCTCCTACAAGCTGACACCTCAGGCTCCCTACCCATCTTGCATTGCTCCGCGTCCATTTCCCGTGTAGGACTCCAGAGACTCGAGTTACCTTCAAATCCAGATTCAACTACTAACGGTAATCTAGGCTCCCATAAATCCCTTCACAGGAGTCTATGCTTTGTGCTGTCTTGCAGAAGCCTCTTTCAAAGAGGTCAAAATCATACCAACTTTGCCAAAGTGTCCCACCTAATACAATTCCCTCCCTCCCTTCCTTCCTCTTCCTCTCTTCCGTCCTTCCTTCCTTTTTTATTTTTTTAAAGCTGGCAAATGTCTAATTTTCTAAGTGTCGACTAACATAGCCAACTTCTAAGATGAGGAGTCCCCCATTGCACTATGGGCAGAACCGCGTATCTTCTTTTCTGCCGTCCTCTATGCCTTCCTCTGCCTGATGACACACCCGACTGTAACAAGCCAAGGATTCGAAAGCAGAGAGCACTTTTCTGCTCAGGCGAGTCCGTGCTAAAGGCTTATTTAGGACCACAGTGGGGTGTGTGCATGTGTGTGTGTGGTGTGTGTGTGCATATGTGGTATGTATGTGTACGTGTGTGTATGTGTGTGTGTGTGTACGTGTGTGTATGTGAAGTGTACGTGTGTGCGTGTGTGGTGTGTGTGTGTGGGGTGCGTGTGTGTATGTGGTATGTGTGCGTGTGGGGTGTGTGTGTGGGGGTGTGTGTATGTGTGGTGTGTGTGTGTGGTGTGTGTGCGTGTGTATATGTGTAAGTGTGCGTGTGAGTGTGCGTGTGGGGTGTGTGTATGTGTATGTGGTGTGTATGCGCGTGTGTAACCATGTGCCGCGCGCATGCACACTGCTAAGGATTCCACTGGGTTGTACCTCCTAGGCAAGCGCTCTACCTCTTAGCCTTGGGCTCACGCTGATCAAACGCAGTGAGCAAGCTCCTTGAAGACAGCAGGAGCACACAGCTAACATCTCACTCTACTGGCTTTCGAGGGTAAGCACTCAATTATGTCTATGTTCCTAAACACACCCCGCTGTTTCCAGCCTCCCTCTGTCTGGGAGCCATTTTAAAGTAACATCGACCCGGC